CTCGTTTGTGTAGGCCGGGCAGGCCAGAAAGCAGGCGGGCTCCTGGCCCCCTGGCCTCCCTGCCTCCCTGCCTCCCTGCCGACGGATCCCGGGTGGGGCGGGGAGTCCTAGTGAGGCCGGCTCGGTGGCGGGGTGGCGATGGCACTCGGTGGTGTAAAGAGAGCAGTGGACTCGGAGCCTCTGCAGATGACTGGTGGCCACTGCTTCAGCTTGGAGCAGGGAACCTGTGCGGGGACGGAAGCTCCCTGTATGAATGACCGCAGCTTCTAGGGCCGGAAGCGATGCTGCCCTGACTTCGCCACCCACGTGGAATCCTGGAGGGGCTTGGAGGACGAGCAGGCTGGGAAGCCGTGGTGGAATTTCTCTCCGAGTGTTGCTCCTGCAACAACGCCTGTGCCTGTTCTCAGGAAGGGGTGGTGGATGGTGTAGTCCTTGATATTGGGTGTTGCTGTCGTTAGAGAAGGGACATATCTCAGTTTTCACCTTCTGCGGTGTAGATGAGAGATTTTTCAATGGGTATCTTAAGGGTTTTTGTGGTGGTTTTGTTACTAGCCTCGGATTTAGAGCCTTTGGTTTCTCAATTAAATGCTATCTATTTTTGCTGGAAATAATGTTTCCCTCATAAGATCAGAATTAACTCCAAAATATTTAAGAAAGGATTCATGAATTTACATTAGTAAAGCTTTTTTAAAAATATATATTTTATTGATTTTTTACAGAGAGGAAGAGAGAGGGATAGAGAGTTAGAAACATCCATGAGAGAGAAACATCTATCAGCTGCCTCCTGCAACACTTCCTACTGGGGATGTGCCAGAAACCAAGGTACATGCCCTTGACCGGAATCGAACCTGGGACCTGATTTCAGTCCATAGGCCGATGCTCTATCCACCGAGCCAAACCAGTTAGGGCTTAGTAAAGCTTTTTAAAATAAAACAGCACTGTTTCTTTTTCATACTCTCTTTATACAACTTAAATCATTTTAGTCTTTCAGTTGGCGTGTTTTGTAAAGGTACTTTGAAAGATTATCACCCACCTATGGTTTCTATTAAGACCAAGAATCTAAAGTTTCTCATACAGTGGGGCCTTGACTTACGAGTTTAATTCGTTCAGTGACGGCGCTCGTAACTCAAATTACTCGTATGTCAAATGAAAAAGTGAACGAGTGAGACACGTGATGCTGGGCTGATGTGGCGTTCACTGTGACATTCGCTGCGCCAACTAGCGGTGGGGTATCTGAAGCTGGCTCGTAACCCTAGTGCTTGCTACTTTCTGTGTGCTGTGTGCTGTAATCTTGTCAAATGAAATAAAAACTAGTCTTGTACCTTAAAATTTTTTATATAGTAAAACCAGATGTTTGTCACTTTTTAACAGAAAAATACTTTGCAAAGCAATTATAGTGCCTTAGGTAACAATTTTAAAGTCTTTTGTGTGGTAGAATATACAAAAAATGAACCAATTATAGATATGCAGTCTAATGAATGCAGTGAACACTCTGTAATCATTACCAAAGTCAACTAGAACATTGTTGGCCCTGGAGACATGTTCCTACCCCCATCTATTCCTGATCATTCCTCCCTCCTCACCACTCTCAATGTTAATACTATTTGGATTTTATGGGAATTATGTCTTACTTTTATTTCAACTATTTTTTTAACTAGCTATGCCAGCATTCCTAAAATAATATAGGTCAGTTTTGCCTGTATTTACCTATATGTAAATGAGTTACATATTATGTATGAGGGGCCCAGTGCACTAATTTGTGCACCTTGAAAGGAATTGTGGGCCTTGAGGCTGCAGTGGGCACAGGGGTGGGTCTCAGCCCATCCTCTGCGCCCCTCCCCCCCGGCCCCTTCTGCCATGTCTCCCCGTCCCCTGTCTGCCTACAGCCGGTGCTGCTCCCACGTGCTGATGGTGCCGGCTCTGCTCGCACCCACTAACAGCACATGGAGCTGTTGGGGCTGGCGCCAATAGCAGGTGCAAGCAAAGCTGGTACTGTCAGTGGGTGTGAGTGGCAGCTGCTGCCCCGATCGCCCCTCAGGAGCAGGGGGAGGTGGAAAAGCCCTCAGGGATGATCAGGGGCCAACAGCTTCCGCTCTCACCCGCTGACAGTGCCTAGCAATTGGTACCAGAGCCAGGAGCCAGCAGCGGATGCGAGTGGGGCCAGCGCCGGCAGCGGGTGCAAGAGGCAGCTACCGGCTCCAGTTGCCTCTCAGGAGCAGGGGATGTGGAGAAGCCCTGAGGGGCAATCGGGGCCAGCGCCAGCTGTGGGTGCAAGTGGCAGCTCCAGCGCCAGCAGCGGGTATGAGTGCCCAGTGGGACCGCAGTGTGCAGGAGCAAAGAATTTTCAGTAACCACCAGAGGCTTGCCCTGATGACAGCGATTGGCACCCCGCCTTGGCCAGGCACCCCCACTCACTGGCTCCACCATCTCGCCGCAGCTCATGCCTGCCATGTTCCACACTCTGCCGCCTGCTGGCAACGCCCACCATGTTCCACACATGCCCCCTGGTGGTCAGTGCACGTCATAGCGACCAGTTGTTCGGTTGTTCTGCCTTTCGGTCTATTTGCATATTAGGGTTTTATATATATGTTATTTTCTCTCATGTTATTAATATATAACTATGTTAGTACATTTAGCTTTAGTATGTATTTTTTCATTGCTGTATAGTAATGTCTATAGTCTACAGTAAAAGTATACTGTAGTATTTCTTTTAATCCTCACCAGAGGATATTTTTTACATTGATTATTATTTTTTTAATTTTAATTTTTTTTCTTTTTTTTAGAGCTAGGGGAAGGGTGGAAGAAAGGGAGAGAGAGGAAGAAGAGAGACAGACAGACAGACAGACATAGGTTGTCTCCCCCAGCACGTGCCCTGACCAGGCTGGATGGAACCTGAAACCCTGCTCTAACCACTTTGCAACATGGGTCAGAACTAGTGTGGTCTTTTTATGAATAAGCCACAATTAGGTAATCTAATATTAATGGACATTTGGATTGTGTCTAGTTTTTAACAATTATGGGCAGTGCTGTTATGGATTTTTATGCATATAGCATACAATTTTGTGTATGCCCAATTTTTCCAAAGTGATATATTAATTTATGCTCCCATCAGCAGTATACAATAGATACTTTTTCTCAACCATCCTGCCAGCAGTTGGTATTTTTTGATTTTTGCCAAACTGATGGACGTAGCTTTACATTATTGCTTTAATTTGCAGTTCCCTGGTTATTAATGAGGCTAAACATTTTGTTTTTCAAAAATATAAATTGGTTATGTGAATAATCTTTAAGTATTTTGCACAGCTTATTTATTAGGTTAAAAGCAATTTACCAACCGAATTGTTATGTTCTGTGAATGTCAGATAAACCCCAGATTTCTAATGCTAAGTGTAAAAACAGTGTAAATTCAGCTTCTTAATATATTACATGTTGAAATTTTAATAAGTTAATTTCACCTTTTTTATTTTTTAAATTAGAGGCTTGGTACATGAAAATTCATGCACTGAAGGCGGGTCCCTCAGCCCATCCTGCCCCCTCTCACAGTTCAGGAATCCTCAGGGGTGGGAGGCTACCCTGAGATTAGGGGAAGGCAATGCCCCATCACACCTCCGCTGCTACCACTGCTGGCAGCGCAAGCCTCAGCTGGCCCTGGTTACGTGAGCCTTGGGCGGCCCTGGGTGGCAGAGTAGCCACCGTCCAAGGCTTGCCTGCGCCTTGTCCTGGCCCTGGGGGGCTAAGGGGACTGGGGGTCTCCAGAGGCAGGCATGCAGAGTGGCTAGGCCCGCCTGGGAGCGGGTCCTGCCTTGCTGTGCACCTGCCACCCCAGCAGGGCTGAGGGGACTGGGCACCGCCATCTTTGAGGGCGGGGCAGTCAATTAGCATATTCTCTCCTTATTGGCTGTGGGAGCCACCATCTTTGCAATGGTGTGAGGGTCAATTAGCATATTCCCTCTTTATTTGGACACTAGAAAAGTTTAAAGAACATATAGGTCAGCAGTTCTTAACCTGTGATTCGCGACCCCTTTGGGGGTCGAACGACCCTTTCACAGGGATTGCCTAAGACCATCGGAAAACACTTATATAGTTACATATTGTTTTTGTGATGAATCACTATGCTTTAATTATGTTCAGTTTGTAACAATGAAAATACATCCTGCATATCGGATATTTACATTATAATTCATAACAGTAGCAAAATTACAGTTATGAAGTAGCAATGAAAATAATTTTATGGTTGGGGGTCAGCACAAAAAAAAAAATGAAGAACTGTATTAAAGGGTAGCGGCATTAGGAAGGTTAAGAACCACTGATATAGGTACTATGTTTCC